TTGTCTTAATTTCGATCTAACGTATCGGTGAAAGTGCTAGACATTAGGAGGTCTGTACCAGATCTATAGGTGATGGTGAAAAGAATTGAGGATAACAATGTAAAACGGGGTCTAAATAAATATATTTATTAATTTGTATTTAAAAACAAAACAAAACAAACAGAAAACAGGGAGGAGACAGGCTTATACGGATTTTGAACTTATTATCACAACCAGAATTAGATCATAAAAGTAAATGTTTGATTGTCCTACTTGCCTGTTTTTTAACACCGCGGGTGTGAGTGCAAGTGCGTGTATGTATGTGCAGGCATTTGTGGGTGCGTGCATGCATAATAATATGTATGTATGTATGCATGTATGTGTATATGTGTATGTGTATGTATGTGTATATGTGTATGACTGTGTGTAAGCGTGTTTGGGTATATATATAAATGTGTGTGTGCGCGCGCGCGTGTGTGTGTGTGTGTGTGTGTGTGTGAGTGTGTGTGTGTGTGTGTGTGAGTGAGTGTGTGTGTGTGTGTGTGTGTGTGTAATATTCTGGCAAAGGCTTAAGGGTACCTGCATGAGAGCTTCTTTGTTTGTGAATGTGTGCACTTGTGTGAGCAGGAATGTAAGTGTGAATTGTATTTTCGTGTGTATGTGTACGTGGGTGTTTATGTGAGTGCGTGCGTGCGTATGTTGGTGTGTACGTGTGTCAATGTGTATGTGTGTGAGTGTGTGTGTGTGCGTGTGTGTTTATGTGTGAGTGTGTGTGTATGTGTTGCATATGCATGTGCTTATGAGTGTATGTATGTATGTGTGTATGTAAATGTGTGTGTGTATGTTTTGTGTGTGTGGAAAGATGTTAGTTTGCCTTCTAGAAAGTGCCTTGTTTATGCAATACGCTTTTGAATCTGCAATGTACTTGAGAATGCACCAAATTGTTGTATGTAAAATCTCAATACACATGAGTTCATCATTAAATTTCTTGAAAAAATGTCTTACATTTCATAACGGTAGTAAGTTTCAACAATGAGTCAGGTACGCTTTGAGAATTACCAGTGGTTGGTTGGAGGGTGCTTTGGTGTGTTTGCTCCTTCTGTCCATTCAAACATCTATCTTCCCTATCTTTCCTCCTTCATTGCTGTGTTTGTTACTCCCTTGTAACACCTCTAATCTTCGGTACTTAGGTCTACATGGCCTAGTTGTGTTGCAAGTGCCGTTAAACGCTTACTAAAACAAACAAAAAAGAATTCCCATTTGCTTTTATTCGTGCAGCTGTGAACCAAGAGTGAACCAGTTCTACAGGTGTCAGCTCTGGAACAGACGTTGACGATCATTGTACCGCACCCCTTCCTGTTGTCTGTCTTGTAGATCAGCTCGGTTTTTCTCATTTTGTTATTTGTTCCAAAGCTGTTCGGGCCATCTGCGTCTGTTGTTCTCTGTCTTCCTCTGCTCTTCTTCCCCTTCTATCTTTTCACACAGCAGCAGTTCCTCTAGTCTATTTGATCTATTTATGTGGCCAAAAGAATCTCAGTTGTCTCTTTCTGATGGTTCTGAGATCTTGAGATCTTTCACAGCCTGCCATTTTTAGCACTTCTCTATTTGTTTTTCTCTATGTCTATGAGATTCTGAGTATTCTCCTTATAATACCACATTTTGGCGGCTTCCGGTATTATCTGCGTGTCCTTGTTTCCAGTCCAGCCTTAGCGCCCATGTAAAAAGATTGACCACACGCATGTTTTAAGATTTCTTATTTTATTGTTCATTGTAGTGTTTCTGTTTGAGAGGACAGGTTTTATCGTGTTGAAAGTTTCTCTCGCTATTGCCGGACTCTTTCTTAATCGCTGTGTTATTTTTTGCACCTGGTGCAATTGTGCAACCAAGGTATTTAGTATCTAAAGCTGTTGACCTGTTTTATTCTTCAGTTCTCACATGTGGTGTTGCATTATGGGATGTCAGCACTTTTTATATCACCATGCTTAACCTAGTTTTCTTTGCGCTCACACGTTGAAAGAGTGAACTCATTCCTTTAAAAAAATGGAATAGGAAACCAATGGCTCAATTCTGAAGTACTTTGTTTTGATAGATAGCGATGAAAACCTTGCAGTTGAAGGAGGTGAGGGCCACCTGGTGTCAGAAGAAAAATTAACGAGAACATGGCTGCCAAATGGTGGTGACTTCCAAAGTTTGAGTGTCCTTGAAAACTGCAAATCTATATTTTTAGTGGCTTTGATAGACATTTTTCAGTAAAACCCACACAGAAATGTATTTTTAATGGACATAAAAGGTGGTGATCAAGGAATAAAGAAACACGATGAAAAGAAATGTGCAACAGGTGGGAAAATGTCTGCTACTTTGATTTCATTATTCCGATGAGCGCCTGAATTCTCCACGATGCTACGAAAATGAATCACAGTCTACTTCTATTAGTCGGACACTGGACTTCTTGAAAGTCTTGTGACTGTGCTGTTGTGTGTTTTTTCTTTTTAGTTTTTTAGAATTATTCTTAACAATGTGACGGAATAATCGAACAAACGCTGTATACGACACGTCTCAATAACAGCTGATGCACTCGTGCCACCCACAAAAAAAAATCGCCTAGCACGCGATGTACGAAAACCTAACGACCCTACGCTTTACTCGATAAGTCATTGAGCCCCCGTTCATATTTACAGAAGGTAAAGCTATTTCCATAGAAGAAAACGGGAATGGGTGATCCATGGAAAGATTTGAATGGTGAAAAAAAGGATTTAAGAAATCGTGATTATAAATAGATAAAAGCTCAAAATACACCCAACACAGGGGGCAGCTCGTTGGAGCAGGAGAGAGGAAAGGATGGGGAGATTATTGCGATAGAGGGAAGATGAAGCGAGGAAGAGAAAGAGAAGTAGGGAAAGAAGAAGTGGAAAAAGGGTGGAAGAGAGAGAGGGGGGAGACAGACAGAGAGAGAGAGAGAGAGAGAGAGAGATAGATAGATAGATAGATAGATAGATAGATAGATAGATAGATAGATAGATAGATAGAATTTGAGGTACAAGGAGGAGACAAAACGGAAGCAGGCCTTGCCGTAATCTACTTTAAAAAACGAAAAAGCTGAAAATGAAAAAAATAAAAGAGGCGGCTTAAGCGACAACTTTTATAGAAAATAAAATAAGCCTTGCTATGCCAGCTGTTCTCTCCGCCTTCCACCTGGGGAGAGCCATGTTTGTGATTGTAGAGTCGGGAAAGTGTAATCACACGGCTGTGTGTGTGTTTATGTGTGTGTGTTTATGTGTGTGTGTTAGTGTGTGTGTGTGTGTGTGTGTGTGTGTGTGTATGTGTTTGTGTGTGTGTGTGTAAGTGTGTGTGTGTGTGTGTTAAAAGTGTGCGTATGCGATCATGTGAGATCGTTAGTGAAATCAAAATATAGATCTACGTGTGTTTACGTGCGCTCGTGTGGGTGAGTGTGTGCATTTGTGTGTGGGTGTGTGTGTGTGTGTGTGTGTGTGTGTGTGTGTGTGTGTTTGTGTGTGTATGCCTGTGTGCGTTTACATTATGCGTTTGTTTGCATATTATTAGGTGAGGGTGAGTGAAAGCATAGCAATATACCTTTATTTGTTTATGCGCACGCTTGTGAGTAAGTGCGTGTGTATGTGTGTGTGTGTGTGTGTATATGTGTGCGTGTGTGCGTGCGTGTGTGTGTGTGTGTGTATGTGTGTGCGTGTGTGTGCATTTGAGTGTGTGTATGCGAACATGTGGGAACGTGAGTGAAATCATAACATACACCGCTATGTGTTTACGCGCGTGCTTGAGGGTGAGAGTGTATGTGCATTTGTGTGTTTGTATGTCTGTCTGTGTGTATTTTTGTGTGTAGAAGTGTGTGTGTGTGTGTGTGTGTGTTTGTGTGTGTATGCGTGCATATATG